AACATTTTTTTCTGACACACTTTCAGTTGAAGGTATAATATCTCATGAGTAAAAGGGTATAAATTTGCGCTTAAAACAAGTTTTGAATGTTAGGTATAAGAACAATTTTTGAAACAAAAACAGATTAATATGGTCATTATCTCGGCATATCAGACAAGATAAGGTGACTAACATCTGAGTCTTAAATTATTGTATCTAGGGCATTCGACTAATAAATGTTTAATTAATAATTAATCTGTGTATTTACTTAGGAAAACTGTTACACAATACATGAAACATATACGACATAACATGAAGCATGAAACATAACTTTTTTTCTTTTTTTTTTCACCGTTCACCTGTTTTAACTACCCCCTACCCCCCAAATGCACCCGACCTACTATCTTATTGTTGCTCCTTTCATGGTTCCATTGCCCCGCCAGGTGACAATATCATTATGCTTATCCCCTTGATTTAGAGTCCTAAACCAAGTCCAGTCGATCATGCTGCATCAATAGATCTAAACGGCCTTCCCCTCATTCGACAGTTGCCTCACAGAGGCACCCCATACAATCGATGAGATGAGAGGGAGACGCGATGGCCGAACAAGGACAAAGGGTATATGTCTCCATTGAAGGTCAGACTCTTAGTGTGGCCAGTCCTTAGTCTAGCTAAAGCCGTTTGAGCAGATCTAGGACATGAGTACTGCAGGGACATACCAGGATATTTAGCGGCATACGAGGCATGAATGAGTGGCTACCTCCAAGTGGTATTCACTCTGGCTAAAATCATGGAATGAGCTTCTGAAGCTAACAGGTTGGAAGAAAAAGCTTTGGGAAGTTCGCAACCTTCCCTAGCGTGCAGATCAGCAATTTCATTTCCATAGATGCCCACATGGGAGGGAATCCACTGCAAGCACACCGATCCGATCTGGTCCAAAACAGCTAGTTTAGAAACTATATCCTGCCCCAATTTGTCCAGGATGCTTGGCCAATCTTTCAAATACTATATTGGGATCTTACTATCCGTCAGAATCCAAACATCAGGTACTTTAAAGTCTAAAGCTAGGCTCAGAGCTGCGCTTATAGCAGTTAATTCTGTGCTGTGGTCCGGGTTTCTAAAACTAGATATTATAAGAATATCATTATAGGGGCTTTAAATGAATGACTCTCGATTAATTCTCCTTTAATTTTCATTTAAAAATGAATTGTTATCATAGGAATATTCCAATGTGTGATTTTAGATTGTCCCGGATGTGGAGCTGGAGATTTTCAGTGTTCGGAGCGTTATCTGTGCGAAACTACCTGCGGCAGAATTCTTTCCATTGGTTACCCTCTCAACTACCAAAACAATCACCGTTGCGGATGGCTGATTCGGTAAGAGATTTCAACTTTTATGGATCTCTTTTGTGTGTTTTGAAATGAGTTAATAAAAGTTTAACTTCCCCTTTTTATACATTAAAAATGACAACAACAAAAATCTTCTTAGAAATAATTCAAATTTTTATTCCTTCACTACTTTCTGTTATAATATTAATATTTATATTTTTTCATATAAGTGCTTTTAGATTAATTGTATTATATAATTTAATGCATTTAATCTATAAGCACATATAAAAAAAAGATCCTGCCTGCTTTTCTCGTGTTACTGAACATTGAAGGAAATTCTCCAAAAATGCATATATATTATTTTTGCACACCTTCTTGTGTGGTACAGTAATAGAGGAAAGCAATATTTAAAAATCGAAAAAAGATATTTTTTTTCTAGAATTTTTTGCATATGAGTTATCAGCGTGTAATAACTCACATGCAAAAATCATTTATCTGAGTCAGTAGTTATAAATTATAGTGTGTGTGCAGTATGTGTATATGTATCAGTTATATATCAGTTATGTGAGTTACATCGTGTTTCATTTTCATTACATCGTCCAAGAAATTAAATCTTCCATGAACTAGCCATCTATAGAGGAATGAAGATTTTTAGGGTTAATTCTTTGAATTTATTACTGTGTCCGAAACGTAAGACAATTTTCAATTTAAAATTCCCGGGGCTTATGGAATTTCAATGGACGCTAAAACTGATTCCAGCGATTTTTGAAATGTCTGAATTCATTGAGCAAAGAACTTGCATTCAATTTTGTTTACGGAAACATATAGTATATTGAAGAAGGCATTCCTATACCGGAAATAAAGGCTTACAAGTGGTATAAACAGTTCAGAGAAGGCAGAGAACGCGTTGAAGACGAAGAGCCCTCTGGTGGACCACCAACCTCAACCGACGAAGCTCACGTCCAAGAAATTAAAAGTTTGGTGCTTGCAAATCGTCGATTTGCAAGGAGAGACCTTACTGATGATGTTGGAATTTCAAAAGGATCGGTCAATTCCATTTCGAGCCTCAAGCGCGTCAAATCTCGATGGGTACCGAAGACACTGAATGCGCCAGCTTCCATTGCATTGATTCTTCGTGACTTTTTTGCCAAAAATGAAGAACATATCGTTCCACAACCACCGTATTCACACCGTGCGTCTTCCGGCTATTCCCTAAATACAAAAGACCCCTCTGGAGACACCGTTATGAGTCGATTGAAGAGATTCAACGTGAATCGCCGTGCGCTTTGAAGGCCATCCCTGCCGATAACTTTTTAGCATGCATTGAAGATGGAAAAAAAGTTTGGCATAAGTCCATTGTATCCATATGGTATTACTTTGAAGGCGATGTAATAAATTTCGAAGAAAAATAATGAGTTTTTGAAAAAAAATCTGGCCTTATTTTTTCGGCGCAGAAGTATGTGTTATATGAGAGAAAACGTGAAAAACACCTGTCAGGCAGTTCGGCGGTCTGACGTTTACGATCTGTCTGTCATATTGGATACCCTCTCACCTACCAATACAACTATCGTTGTTGATGGCTGATTCAATGGCTGTCACAATCGCCAAAAAAGCCGTTTCTGAAAGAATGGAACAAACAGCTTTGAATATGAATCTTCTTGCTTACTAAAAGTGAATGCTGCCTCCAGACCACGAATTGTGTTTCCTTTGACCACGGATTCAGAAGACACTTCGTACCACGATTCTTATTCATCTCGCATTAGAAATATATGGAGACGAATGAGGCATTTAAATGTGAGCAAGAAAAATAGACAGAGAAATAGTTCAAATTCCTCCGTATAACTGATATTACAAGGGTGCTTCAATCGCACTGTAGGTTCATTTCACCATAGCACTGTTTGATTGTAAAAGTGCATAAAACTGCTCGTGAAAACTTGGCATAGTTGGCACAGTTTTTTAGGTGAAAATGTTGGTCACACGTTTCTTCCATTAACAGGAGTAAATTCCGAGAAGACACTTCATTCTTGGCATACTTCACCGAGATAAGTATGCCATTCTGTTTAACAGCAGAGCAAATCTCATTAGTGTTTAAACTGCTATGATATTGCAATGTCAAATGCAAAGCAGCTATTTTTAGTCTATGTCTTCGAAATTTCAATAATATTCTGTAACAATTGCCATAGAAGCATCTTGTAGAAATTCTTTAGAAGGATTGTGCCACTTGCTTGTAGTAACTGGCACTATTCTTTTAAAAAATTTCTAATTTCATCGTTACTTAGTCAGTTCTTTTAACTTTTTCAAAGTTTAACAATGCCATCTTAGTCATATTATCTATTCCTTCTTTGAAAATGCATGAAATATGAAAACACCACCAATAGTGTGCAAAGTTCCTTTATCAAATCTCGATGGACTTGGAAGAGTATTAATAAAATTAGAATAATTCTTTCATATAAAAAAACCCCTCTTTTTAATGCAATGTCATGGCCTTAATATGTAGTTAGTGTTCTGTATGCTCAGATATACAATTTTTTATTCTTGGTTTAGATATGCTAATCATTTATTCTACACTGACATTTTAATAATAATGAGCAAAATTAAATTTATAGCTAAACTTCAGCTACATGAGTGCTAAATCAGTAACAGAGATGCAACCCTTGCTTATGGCATATAGATTAACTGGCTCTGTATTGCCAGCTGCATTAAAAAGACAACTTCAGCTACATGAGTAAAGTTTTTTACAAACTCCTTTCCCTTTCAGCTCGAACCAGCAGAAGGAGACAGATATTCAGCAAAGAATATTCCAGATGTTCTATTTTTCGTGTTTACCATGCATGTTTGTATATACATACACATATATAAAACATGAATATGCATATGATATATGCACATGCATATGGTACATATACGAAATATAGAACACCTAGAAAAAGCACATGGCAAATATAGTGTACTATCCATGAGTAAATTATGCCACAAAATTTATTGCATTTCATAACTTTCCATGAATAAATAAATTTCCTCACCAGAACCAAGCCTTCCTACTTCATCAACCTAACCTTCCTGGACTTCGACATCATTGGGGGCGAGAACTGCCAGAACGATTACTTCGCGGTCTACGACGGCAACAAGAGCCACAAGGCGCATCTCATCGGGAGGTTCTGCAACGAGAAGAAACCGCCCGACCAGATAGTGTCCAGCTGGAACTCTCTTCTGCTGGAATTCTCCTCGGATGCGGACGCCACCGGAAAGGGATTCTCTCTCGAGTACACTTCCAGGAGCTTCCAGATGCCCAAAGACATAGAATACGCCATCGAAAATGATGAAGGTAAGCAAGCTCATGCTTCGCCAGCGTTTCATGGTGCTTTGGAAATTGCAACATGCAATTAATGATAATTTCTTGTTCTGTTGTTGTTTCTTATCCCACTTGGCTGGCCAAGCCCACGAGCCCATACGTACTCATGATTGAAGGGGAAGGAAGCAGCTTCTGTTGTGATGGAGCTCCCCGTAGATAGAAGTCTGACTTTGGCTCCGTGACGCTCTTACAGTCATAGGAGACCGGGACCTACGGATTAAAGTGGATTCCAAACCACTACAAACATCCATGGCACCGCCGGGATTTGAACCCGAAACCTGTGGCACCGAGCGCCAGAGCGCTAGACACTCGGCCATTCAGGTCCCAAATGTGTCAATGCCAACGGCACGCGGTGTTCCCAGGTGGTCCCCCACCCAAGTACTGACTGCGCCCAGTGGTGCTTGACTTCGGTGATCAAACGAGTGTATTCATCATGGTATGGCCGTTGGCCTACAAATGGCATTTCAGTTGGCAATTTCTTGTTCTACAAACTCATAATTAAGATTCATCTTGGAAAAAGGATCGTCTCTGCATCAACTACTCTGAATCATGACCATCTCCAACAATAAATTCAGTAATCCAGGTCGGTAACATTTGTCAAATTTGGAACAGAGTTCCTTCAGCTCAGATACCAAACATGATTACCATCCAGACACACACGATATCAGTAGTCACTCATTTGTCTCTTCAAATATTACTACTACTACTACACTACACCACAACACTAGGCCTAGAGCTGAATTACCCCTATGCAGTTTGGGAATGATGTGTGTATGAGAAAAGTCTGACTGGGCTGCGTGACTCTCTTGCAGTCATATGAGACCGGGATTTACGGCTTAAAGGGGATTCCGAACCACTACAAAAATCCATGGTACAGCCATCCTCGAACCTGAAGCCTGTGCCCCTGAGCGCCACAGTGCTAGCCACTCGGCTATCAGGCCCCTGTCTAATATGACAGTTCAAATCTTACAAAAGTCTACAATTTCTCTACTAAATTTTATAATTCTCTTTCTAATATCCATAAAATCTCCTGATTAAATACTGTGCATAAGGTGCAAACTCCCCACAAAGGGTTCTTGTCCCACATCGTGGCGTTAAGATTTAGGTATAGAATAGCAAATCTTCAACGGTGCACTTTGGATTATAGGTCTATATATCCTCCTTTCAATGGCGAATGATATCAGATTGACATAACTTGTCTGTTGTAAATAACAAAGTCCCATTCTTTAAAAGAGCTTTTATTTATAATGCTCATGAAACAAAAACTTAATTACGAGAGCTTTAGGTCTGATGGCCAATTGGCTAGAGCTCTGGCCTTTGGTACCACAGTCTTCAGGTCCGAATCCTGGCTGCGGCAGGGATGTTTGTGAGTGGTTCGAAATCCACGTTAAACTTTAGATACCGGTCAAATTGGAATAAAGTGTATAAGAAATGACTGTAGAGCAACAAACCAAACTAGAGTTTTAACAAAGATGAACTGATACAATATAGTTTTGGTTTGTTTATAATTCTGCCCTCCCCTCCCCTTTTCTCTTTCTCTTCAGCCAGCCAGAAGTTTTCGTGGCTTCGTAACGGTTATTTTTTAACTCCTTTTAATTGCCCCAGTTTTTATTTTTAAATACTTTTGTGAACTATTATTTTAAATTTTGTATTTACTAACCTTTTTACTCCTATAAATTCTCTCCGAGCCTGGGCTCGTTTAATATTCTTTCCTTAGCTCATCTTTTGGATTTAAAATTATGTTTTAATAATAGTTATTGATATGGAGGTACGGGAAATTCCCTGGTACTCCAACTAAACACCTACCGTTACGTTACGTTACGAACTGCCTATGAAAGAAAGCAAATTTATTGATTTATAGGGTCGAACTTTTAATTTGGTTTACTACTGTTGGCTTTGATGTCAGAAGTTCAATGAGATTGACTATTAGATCCCTGTAAATTGAAACAAAGTTTTTAACGATAATCAGTTTGGTGAAGTAACAATGCTTTCGTTTAAAAATTCCTACTTCAAAGATACCATGGCTCCAGTTTATTTAATTGCGTTGCAGATAAGTCCGGGTGCCCTGAGGACTGGAAGTACTACAACGGCAACTGCTACAACGCTTTCCACCTGAACACGTCCCTCCAGTGGTACGAGGCCGAAATGCTGTGCAAGGAGGAAGGAGAGGAGCGAAACAGCCACCTGGTGAGCATCCTGGACAAAAAAGAGAACTCCGTGCTGCACCACTTCCTCACCAACGAGTGGCAGGCAAAGCACAAGTCGCTTTATATAGGTACGTATTGAAATTATAATTGCACTTATAATTGTACTGGCACTTATAACTGCACTTATAGTTGTTGAACTTATAACTGCACTTATAGTTGCACTTGAACTCATAACTGCACTTATAGTTGCACTTGAACTCATAACTGCACTTATAGTTGCACTTGAACTTATAACTGCACTTATAGTTGCACTTGAACTTATAACTGCACTTATAGTTGCACTTGAACTTATAACTGCACTTATAGTTACACTTGAACTCATAACTGCACTTATAGTTGCACTGGAACTTATAACTGCACTTATAGTTGCACTGGAACTTATAACTGCACTTATAATTGTACTTGAACTCATAACTGCACTTGCAACAATTGTGATGCAAGAATGTCTTCTCTTTTCTTCATCCCTCATTTCCTGTACCAAAGATATGTAGCCCTCTGCTAGCCAGAAAAACGGAAGTGGATCACCAGTGAGCTTCATAGGGACCACGAACAACCCACTAAGGGATGTAGGTGGAGGACAATTCCTGCTGGGAAATAATTTAAGTGTTAATTGCCCCGCATTTGAGTGTCGTATGAGAGAAAAACCAGAAATTCCTGCCAGGTAGTCTGACTATCGATGCGAGAGGCTTTGCTCGCATTGTCCTGATCGCCATCGAGTCTCCTCGTTTCTAAACCCAGTGACTACAACAATGCCACCAATGGACTCTAATTTCAGTCTTTCTGTACACTAGCTGCTACAGGGCCACGAATTGGGCGAAGGTGTTGCTAGGTGATCCACCTTACTAAATACTAACCGCGACCAATGATGCTCCTTCCGGTGATAGAACGAGAACAAGTATATTCAGTGTTATATTTACACGTGTAGCGTGGGGAATTGGCAACGTTATTGTTGTTCTATGAAAAATAAAGATGTCTGTTATTGTGTTTTTAAAGAAATGATTGCTAGCTTCTTGGTTTATTATCAAGAAAATTTACTTCATTGTGGAATCTGGGATTCCAGTAAAGTAAGTGTCATTTGCAATCCGATCATAGAACACATAAACTTTAATTTTGAAAGAGATAACGTAGGAATTGTATGACTGTTAGTAAGTGACTTTTTTTACGTTAAATTCAGAAATATCACTGTAACAAACGGTAACACAGGACCCTCACAGAGTTCCAGTGATGTTGATTGGTGAGTTTTAATGGCGCAAGTGCCAGTTTTGGCCACGGTGAGCCATACCAATGTTAGTTTGCATTTCAAGTAGTTGAGTGATAAAAGCGATTGACAACAATAATATAAAACTCTTTCTGGCACATTTGCAATTAAAATTCAACTAAAAGAACATAATCTGATAATTAAAAGGGGAAAAATTGAGATTTAAGCATGTTTTAAATAAAAGGCATAAAACCAATTTTTGAAACAAATAGCATTTCGATCAGCATGTCAGACAAGGTGGAATATTCATACCAAATAGGCGGAATTTGAATTAATGTATGAAGTATGAAATAAGAATGCATGAAGTATCGAATATATGAAGTAGGAATGCCCTATTCGAAATCTTATTCTGAGTGGATGGCTTAAATTTGCTTAAAAACTTTGATGAATGCTGATTAAAAACCTAAAATCCTATACCCTTTATGCCAAATCTATCGCCAGGACGCCAAGCCAACTTAATAATGAATGTAGTACTTAGTTTTCGCGGTAAAAAGATATTAAGCCAACATCCGTCACTAGAATGCCAAATCGCCAAATAAATGAACAAACTGGTTGTCGAAGTTGGGTGTCGTTGTAAAATGCTACTTCGACAAAATTCATCAACATATTACGAGTACATTAGTAGCCAAAAAGCTATTATGTCAAATTTTTTCCCTCAAATTATTTTTAAGCTACATTTTATCGCTTTAACGCCAAATATTATCACTATCTCGCCAAAATGTTATTCCTGAAATGCTTTTACGCCAAAAATTATTGCTTTATCGCCAAATTTTATCACTGAGGTATTTAAATTCCTAAAATGGTTTTTCGCCAAATGTTATCGCTTCAACGCCAAATTTTAGCACTATTATGCCCAAATATTTGCTCTAAATTGCCTTTACGCCAAATTATACTTCTTTATCGCCATGTTTTACCACTATTATGGCAAAATTTCAATGATTTCTTTTTTCTCCAAATGTTAACGCCAAAATAAGTATATCAGCATTTTGCTAAAATTTTATTCCTAAATTGATTTTACGCCAAATTATTATGTAGAGTTATTGACTCACTAAAACCTGTAATTGCATAATACCAAATAAATGAAGATTCAAATCTTATCAAATGAATGAAGAAAACTAAAATAACTTCACAAAACTCCAGCGGTTTTTTTTTTCTGTGAATTAACATTCTAAAATTAAAAAGTAACATTTTTCCCGCGAATTCAAATAATCTTTGCCGCAAAATCTTAACGATATCAACAGCATTAAAAACAAACAACACCAAATCGCAGAAAATTTAATGCGTTTGTGTGGTTTAATAGTTTAATTTAATGCTTTAATGGTTTGGCCGTGAACTAATGTTCTAAAAATTAAAAAATTTCGCGCGAATCCAAATAACGGTTGTTATAAAACCTTAACTATGTCAACAGCATAAAAAAGAAAATATTTATTTTACAATCAAATATAATTTATTAAGGTACTTACATATTAACGCCACCGCAGCTACATATTTGGCTGTTTTTAAGTGGCGCCAATCTACACTTAAAATTCTTGTGACAAATCATAAAATATATAAAACACTTTATTTACAATCAAAACACTTTCAAAATTCAAAACCCTTTATTTAAAAATCAAGTCGTCAATCGGATTTCGGTGGAAAATGGGCCGATATAGAGTTCAACATAGATTCAAAACAGTCTCTATTTTGGCGCATTGGCAGCTCTTTATTGGCGCATTGGCTCAACTTCTGCTGCGGTGGCGTTAATACGTAAGTACCGTTATTAATAAAGCAAAAATCGTTTTTGTTCTTTGTTTCGTATTTTATGAGTAGCAACATCATAGAAATTATTTATTTTCTGTATTAGTGACCGACATACTTTATAAGAATAATCTCGAAATAATCAATAATTTAGGGGAATAATTACTTTAAAAAATATATATTTCTATTCTTATTTTCTATAAATGAAAACTGTGCAAATAACAATCAAAGCAGCAATAAAATA